GCAAATCTTACGTAATCATAATGTGAATTAGATTTTTTATAATCCTTATGAGCTATTTTCTTCTGTATAATTAAAGATTTAGTAGAATTATCTATCCAACTTATTATTATTTTGACATTTTTTTAACGGAATGAATGTTTCGATTACATAATTGATTATACTATAGAAAGCACTTACACATTGATTAATATCAAAGAAATTGTTTAAGAAATTCCAGTTTACATTTGATAGGTAATTATCAATTAGTTCATAGGGGGCATTTCCAAAATCACGATAAAAACACGGTTCCTTAGATTTCAAAATAAGAGTATTAATATCACAGATGTTTGCAATCACAGCTGGATGGTATTTATCACATTTCAAAAGAGGTAAGCATTCATTGACCAATGTGGTGTGGTTACAAAAAATTAAATCTAGAGTTACAAAGTTAACATTTTGTACGGAATTGTGTTGAGCCAAGCCGGCAAAAGCCATACCATCGCAGATGATACGTTCAGTGTCACAGCTAACATTCGATGGATACAGTCCTTCCGACATGTTTTCTGTAGATGCTGCATTCCACTTAATATCAGGCAAATTGTAATCACCTACTATGCATACAATGTGATTAGGAAAGCGTGACACAATACAATTAACCAATTCAATGTGATCACTATAAAGTTGACGAGCTGATCCTGGTGGAATGTAGCAAGCACCGAGAATTATATTAGTTTTACCAACTACTAGTTTTATCCAAATTTCTTCCCTATTTGATGTGTTAACATCAAGTTCACTGGAACTGTAATGGGACTGTATGGCAATGAGCACTCCACCCCCTCGAGTCTTGATGCTTGTTTGAGATGATCTGTCTTTCCTAAATACACAGTATCTTTTATCAATAAATTCACTATTAAAAATGCCATCACACAGCCACGTTTCAGAAATTACTATTATTGGGTAACACTCACTGAGGATTGAATGGCACAATTCGTTTAGCTTTGTTCTAAGTCCTCGGACATTTTGATAGTAAATCTGTAAACTATCAAGATTCAGTAAACTATCAAGATTTTTGCCCTCACCTGACATTAAGACGTGACCTAATTGTGTGCTTCTGAAGGCTTCCTTACATTTTGAGATGCCTCCCCTTCTTTTTTCTTTAAAAAATAAAATTTCTTAATTATAACACCTTCCGGCCATAACTCTTCTTTGAAAAAATCATTGTAAATACTTGGATCAATCGTTACCTTAAAGGAACACTTTTGGCATTAATTCTTCTAGGTAGTTTGTCCACTAGAAATTCAAAGTTTGGAAATTTAGATCTTAAAAATTCATTAACATCATTTTCCACTGTATTTGGTTGTAAATTGCCAACATAGACAGTACTGAGACGCTTCGCAGCCTTGAGTGACATATTTTGTAAAGTAGCATTCCCTCTAACAATTTTACGTTTATTCCTCCTAGACATTTTTGTTTGAAACCCATCCGCATCAACTAGAACGCTGTTGTTGTAAGATGTTGTGTTTTTGTTATAGATGCCCCCTTGACTCTGTGTTTTTGTCGTTGGCATAATTGGTTCGAGATTAAAATTCGGTGAACCATCATCATTACTAATAATTTTCGGAACTTGTAGATAGTTACTATTTGTTTTGAATTGTATTGAATTAGAATTTGACCGGACATCCGAAATCAAGTTGGTGTTTATAGTTCTTTCAGTCGTTGTTTTTTGGGTTTTAATCGGCTGAGTTCGATAACCTCCGTTGCGAAAAGTTTTACTATCACCGTCTAAAAAAAAGTCAGATAAAGCACCAACCTGATGTGGGAGGATTGACAGAAACCCAGATATTTGTATGTATCATTTCGTTCTTGGGCTTCGATTATTTCGTTATTCTGAGTTATATGTGGTACTTGGTGTTGGACGCTTTTTCTGATTGCTTGCTCAATACCAAAAGACATACCAATATCACCGGAAAATTGTTCAGTCAGATTTAATAGGTTTGTTAACTGATTTTGTGTACTTGCGTATATTTTTATGTCATCTATATACAGCAAGTGACTTATTCTGTTTTCTCTTTGTTTGTTCATTCTTATATTGAACCCATAAATGCAGCTGTTCAGGATATCGGAGAGGGGGTTTATTGGTCGGGCTAAGAGAATCGCCTTGAAAAATTCCTCTTCGGATCATTATTGGATCTGACTGAATTGTTTGTTCATTTAAGGTTATTTGGAGGGTGGTCTTCCAAAATTCCATGGAACATTTGAGAAAAGTGCAGATTTTAGTATCAATTTTGTATAACTCCAGAATTTTGCATAGCCAGGAATGAGGGACAGAATCGTAAGCTTTCTTATAATCAAGAAAAGCAGTATATATGTTTGGGTTTTCTTTTCTAGCTTGTTCACAGATGATGGAATCTATGATTAATTGCTCTTTGCAACCAAAGGATCCTTTAAAACATCCTTTCTGTTCTTCATTAATGATGTCAGAGTTAAAACAGTGTTGACAGATTTTTTGTGTAAAGCATAAGGTTAATATTTAATAGATTGTCGGTAAACATGTGATAGGTCTGTATTTTGATGGATTTTTTGTGTCGTTATCTTTAGGTTTTAGGTATGTTACACCATGATATAAGAATGTTGGAAAGGAGGATGGGTCAAGAAGGAACTGATTTAAGTGATGTAGTAAACGAATATGTACATAATTTAATTTTTTTATCCAAAAATTATGGATTTTGTCTGGTCCTGGTGATTTCCAGTTGTGTGTCTTATTGATGGTATTTATTAATTCGGCAAGTGTTATCTGATGATCATTCATTGATGTAACTGTGGATAGTTTATGGGATATATGAGGAATCCATTTGGCAGATTGGTTAAATTCAAATTCTTGAGACCAAAGTTTTGACCAAAATGTTGTTACATCCTGTGAAATTGGAAGTTGACCGGATAATTGAGTTTTGCTTGAATTAGTTAAACGTTGATAGAATAGTTTTTCGTTGTTTAAAAATTTAGTGTTATGAATTTTTCTGAGATGTGATTGTATCTTTTAAGTCTTTTGCTATATAAGGAAAGCTTTTGTAATAGGGTATCTTTAATTTGGGATAGTGTTGTGTTGTACTCATCGTAATCAGTTTGATGAAAATTATTGTTGGTCAGTATCGAATGCATACAGTATGTATATTTTAAGATGTTTGGTAGATATCCTGTCAGACACTGTGATCAAAGTAGTTTACTTGACATTGTTAGTGAAAATTCTCTACTTAGTAGGAGGAATATGTCATGTTTGATATTTTTACAAAAAATTGTAACGGGACAAATTTATAGTCAAACTCTTCTCAATGAAATTAAATTTAACGTACCCAGATTAGGCAGCCGCATCCAGATAAGTTTTTCATATAACATTCCAAACACACTTCACCACTTCAATAGTCCTCTAATAGCTTGTATTCGTTTGTATAATTATATTATTAGCAGAGATCAAAATATTGACATTTTCTTTAATAATTTTTGTAATGTTGGGATTAGGAATAAGATACTGAAAATTGTAGTTGCTGTGTTGTAATGTCGTTGTATCCACTAGAGACATAATTGTCTGCTGGAAATAAATTTACTTATTATTATTATTATTATTATTATTGAGATTTTTGAAAAATTGACAAAAATCGTCTAAAAAGTCCGGAAAATACATTTCTTAACTTGATTCAAAAAAGCCGAAATTTACAAGAAAATGTCTTTGGGTAATTTTTGAGAAATGCTCGAAAAACATTAAAAAGTCACATTGAAGAACTGATATTTTTTAAAAATTGCGAAAATATTGTCAAAAAATAATGGAAAATACATTTTGATAAGTCGACTTAAAATGGTCAGTTTTCATTTTACTACTTCAAAATCAAAAAAATCACATTGGAAAATTTAATTTTCTAAAAATCGTCAAAAAATTCGGGGAACAAATTTCGACAAGCTGATTCAGGAAACATTGTTGATAGTTCTGGATTAAGAGTAGAGATTAAGAATAGGATTATGATTAAAAGAGACTCTAAAGAGAATTATACACAGAGATCGACCCCCAGAAGCAATTTTCGGCTTCATTTCATTAAAAATTCCTACCGTTTTTTCTTGAAAAATTAGAACTTTTAGAATTAACAACTGAAATTTTCGAAAATATTGGCCAAAGAATACCAATAGGCCATGTTTTTCGAATGTTCAATTTTTCGATGCACAAATTTTTCACAAATTCTAGATTTTTGTTTAATTTGAATTTAAAAGCGACTATTTCGAAAAAAATGTTTTCAATTTTTCTTTTCTCTTTTTTCTTTTCGAACAACTCTGAAAATGACATCAACAGAATCTTTTTGATAATTTCGACGTCTAGAAGTTCATCAAAGATTCTATTTGTAGATTTTTGAGCAATTTTACCAAAAACTTAATTCTTCAATTTTCGACAAATTTGAAGATTTTGAAAAAAAAGTTGAATCTAAAAGTGGATTTCTTGAAAATATTGGATTCTACATTATAGATTTTTTTTATAGATTTTTGGGCAACTTTTTAAAAAAATTTGATCTATATGTATATTTTAGAGCAGTTTTGAAAATGACCTAAACAGATATTTTTGTAGATCTTGATCTTTGGCTTGATTTCTCAAAAATTCCAACCATTTTTTTTTAATTTCAAATAGCAAAAATCACGATGTTTGTAAAAATTAGAACTGAAACTTGAATTTTTCGAAAATATTGGATAGAGACCATCAAAATGTGATGTTTTGGAATCGAGATCTATACCATAGAATTTTTTGTGAATTTTTGGGAAAGTTACCGTTTTTTTTTATCGTCAATATAAAACAATAACAAAAAAACTGCCATGTTTTTGGAATTCTTGGCAACTTTTCAAAAACTAGATTGCTCAATTTTTGACCTCTTTCACGAACAACCCGAAAGGTTTTTACTAAATTTCGCCTTTCTGAAGTTATTTTCGGCTTTAATTCATCAAAAATTCCTTTAATTTTTGGGTAACTTTTCGAAAAGTCCATCATCCTAAATAATAACTCCACAAACCAGCCATGGTGAATTTCGCTCCGACCGCTTTCCTGCTCCTGCAACTCTCTTACGTCGTAAGTACCCGACGCACTTCAGGTGCCTTTTTGACATTCCGACTAGTTCGCAGGCTCTCAAGGCCGCTACAACCACCTGAGTCTCCGCTCCAGCCGGATAGACAGGAACAAGAAAATATTTTACGCCGAGGATTGCATGTTTAACATCTGCGAACACGTTCCGAGTTACCCGGAGGCGGAGGTCTCGAACTTGATCAAAACACACCCAGAACTGCATTCGTTTTTCAGAGGGAGGATCATCCAGCCGACGAAGGTGATGACGCTAGGGACTAGGTACAACCATGAAGGGCCGACGCCCTTTTGCTCTACCAAAGACGAGTCGGTCGTTCCCAGGCAGATGACGGACGTCGATGGGGTGACGAGGCTCATCGCCAACGTCGAAGAGTTCTCCCAGGTGGTGTCGTACCAGGTTTGCCGGTAAGTTTTTTAGTGAAAACATTTCGGAGAAAAATAGTTGGTTGCTTTTCAGATATAACAATGACGAACAGTGCTACCTGATGAATACTCTTGGATTTAAGACAAGCTGCCTGCAGAAATTCAACGATATTAAGCTGGTGACGGTGAAGAATCCGGGCCGTCCGGACCATGAGTTGGAGTTCCGGGTTTTTAGCGTTCCGAGTACCTGCGTCTGCACTTACACCATGACTGAAGAATTTAAGTAATATTTAAACAATATTATATATTGCTATCGCTTTGTATATATATCAATAAAAATAAAAAAACATACAGAGTGTTCATTTTATCTGTTCACGCCTGAATATTTCTGCATAGGCAACCCATTTTACCAGTGTTTTTAGCTCAATATTTTAAAGATACAAACTTTAAGTTAGTTAAAAAGTCAAAATTTTCCACTTTAAATTTCTGTAAGCGTAGATTCGACCACTTGATAAAAAAATTCAGTCCTCATCTAATCCAATAAACCAACAAGATGGAAAGCGCAGGTGTATACAGGGTGTTTCTTTTATTTGATACAACCCCTGTAACTTTTTTATTCTTAAACATAAACCTGTAGTTCTTTGAGCAAATGTATCATTTTAAAAGATCTTTGTGATGGCAACCTCACATTTACATTATCACTTCCGGTAGAACCGGAAATGACATCAACTTTATTTTTTTTTATGGAACCCTAGGTATATTTTTTCATAAATGGAAAGACTGATTTTTTCTAAAAATCACAGGCAACCAATATTTCTAAAATCAATACTTAAAAAGTTATTAAATAAAATACACGAAAAATTCATATTAATTGATGACAATCTAGTAGCTTGAAAAATTGACACTCATGTCATTTATTCACATAGGTGATCTTTTAAAATGATACAAATTTGGTCAAAGAACTACATATATGTTTATTTTTTTAAATAAGAAAATTTCGGGGGTTGTATCAAATAAAAGAAACACGTGGTATAAGTATGAAATTCACTTTACGTCCAATAAAATCTAATCTAATAAACCAATGAAATGCAGATGCGGACATGGGTGGGGTTAATTTTGCTTGTCTATTTTTCTATTGTTTGTCAGTATAAAATCCTTTTTTGGTCTCAGCCAATAAAGTAAGTGACTAATTTCATAGGCTTTTAATTACAGACGAATCACATCTCGGCAAATAGTGAAATTCTTCTATTTGATTTGTGATTTCGAGATGGTAAATTTCAGTGCTAATCACGTCTAAAATTATTTAGATAGAACATCCCTCCCCTCTGAAGTACATGAGAACAAATGCAGATTTTTCGAAATAATTATAAGAAACTGAAAAAGAACAAAACCAAAACATTGAAGAGTAGAAATTTAAAAAATCGGAAAATTTAAAACGTGAAAAATTGGAAAATTGAAAATCTAAAAATCGAGAAATTTAAATATCGAAAAATTGAAAAACTCAAAAATCGAATATATAAATCGAAAAGTTTAAAATTTAAAAACCAACAAATTAAAAAGTCGAAAAATTCAAAAACGGCAAATGCAGATGAGAAAACGAGAAAAATCGGGAAATTCAAAAGTGAAAATCCAAAAAAATTGGAATATCGAAAAGAACAAAATTTAAAAATCGGGAATTTCAAAAATCAAAAATTGAAAAATAGACAAATTGAGGAATCGAAAAACTGAAAGGTCCAGAAACTGAAAAACGAAAAATTGAAAAGACAAAATTCCAGAAATTGAAAAATCGAAAAAGTGTAAAATTCTGAAACTGAAAATCCCAAAATCAAAAATCAAAAATGTAGGAAGATTAAAATATCGAATAATTGAAAAAATCAGATATCAAAAAATTAATAAATCGAATATGCAAATTAAAAAATGGAAAAACTTTATATGTAATGAAAAATTATGAAATCGAAAAATTTTAAATCAGGAAAATGAGAAATCGAAAAAAGCAAAATCACAACACTGAAAAACAGAAAATTGAAAAGTCGAAAAACAAAAAAGTCAAAAAAACGAAAAACGAAATATAGAAAAAATCGAGAGATCGAAAAATTCGAAAATCTGGAAATTCAAAAATTAAAAACTGAAAAAACCAAAAATTTGAAGATTGTAGAAACGAATTAATTCGAAAAAATGTAAATCAGAAAAATTGTACAAATTAAATTTGTAAAATCGAAAAACTGAAAAATCGGAAAATGGGAAATCGAGAAAGAGCAAAATTGTAAACTTGAAAAATTTAGAGATCGGGAAATTCGAAAAACAAAAATTTAAAAACTGAAAAATTGAAAGATTGAAATATCGAAAATTTGAAAAATTGAAATATCGAAAAATTGATAATTCGAATATTAATTTAAAAAAATTAAAATTAAAAAACTATTAAATTAAAATGTTCACAAATCGAAAAATCGACGGATTTAAAAAAGAACAAATTTGCAAAATCAAATAATTGAAAAACTGAAAATTGAAAATTTGAAAAATGACATGATTAAACAATTTTAAAGTTCTAGAATTGAGAAAAAATAAAAAAATGGAAGAATGAAAAATGAAAATGATAACATGGAACAATTTAAGATCAGAAATTGAGTAATCGAAAAATGAGAAAGCGAAAAGGTGCAAAATCACAACATTGAAAAATCGAAAAACAAAAAAGTCGAAAAATGGAAAAAACCAAATGTTGAAAAATTAAAAATAGACAAATTCACAAATCGAAATTGAGAAATTGAAAAAGCGCAAAATTGAAAAATCCGAAATCGGAAAATTCAAAAATCAAAAATTTTATAAATCAAAAAATTTGAAGATTAAAGGAACGAGATAATTCGAGATATTGTAAAACAGAAAAATTGTACAATTTAAATTTGTAAAATAGAAAAATTGAAAAATTTATAATCCAGACCTTGAGAAATCGAAAAAGTGGAAAAATAGAAAAACTGAGAAATCGGAAAACTGAAAGTCGAAAAATGTGGAATTCAAAAAGTGTCAAGTTGTAAAACTGAAAAATCTAAAATCGGGAATTTCAAAAAATCGAAAAATTGAAAGACGGAAAAAACGAAAAAACGAAAACTTGACATACAATTAAAAATTGAAAAATTTGTAAAACCAGAAGTTAAAATTTGTAAAATTAAGAAACTGAAAAATTGAAAAATGCAAAATTTAAAAACGAAAAGAAATTCAAAAATCGAAAAAGTGCAAAATTATGAAATTGAAAAATCCCAAGATCGGGAAAGTCAAAAATCATTAAATATAAAAATCGAAAAGTTGGAAAATGGAAATATCGAAAAATTGATAAATTGAAAATGTAATTAAAAAGTTTTATATACTATAAATATTTTATATATTATAAAGGAGCTAAGGGATCGTGTAAAAACGCAAAGTGAGATGATAGACATTTTGATAAAAAGTTTGAACAACTTGGGAGGCTCCACTGATTGTAGTTTATCATCAATGGACGCTTTTTCGAGTAAGTTAATGAATAAAAACGTGAGTGGTGTGGAAGTAAGAAAAGTGGTAAACAAAAGTGAACCTGAAATACGGAACACTATTATAAATCCTAATACGAATTTATGTAATGAAGTTGATCTAAAAAATTCTTCAGACAATGGTAAAAATCCTTCTGAGAAGGTGGAAACAGGTGATACTTTAAAATGTCGGCCGAAAGTAAGTAAGTTAATTATTGGCTCAGCAGATATAGCTTCTAGTTCAGGTTCGTCAGATTTGTCATCGAGTGATCATGATTTCATAGCTGTTACCAGAAAAAAAACAGTCACATACATATTACAAGAGTAAACCCTAATGTTGATGTAAACAAGATCACTGATTATATCAAATTTAAGTTAAAATCCCATGAAGAAGTGCTGAAAAGTGAACGTCTTCCTGACTTTAAGCTTATTAAATTGGACTCTAAATTTCCTGAGTTATATAGTTCTTTCAAACTTACTATCGATTTTGTATATCAAAATGATATTCTGGCTGCATCTTTTTGGCCCAAGGGTGTAGCGGTAAGGAAGTTTTTTCAAGCGAAATCCATACATTTTCGGCAAAATCAGGTAACATTAGAAAACACTTAGACATATTCTATCAAAATACACGTGGTCTTAGGACAAAAATTAGTGAATTTAACTCTAGTGTATTGCAGTGATCATGAAGTAATCGCTCTAACTGAAACGTGGTTGGTTGACAATATTTTTAATAATGAACTTTTTGATGATAGATATGTGGTTTACCGGAAAGATCGATCTCCGATAGTCACTGCCAAATCAAGAGGTGGTGGTGTTTTGTTGGCTGTAAACAAAGATATCCCCTCTCGTGAACTTATTATTGATGTAGAAAATCGTGAAGAACTCTGGGTTTTATTAAGCTTAGCTAATTTAAATCTTATGTTATGTGTTGTGTATTTTCCACCTGGTTCAACATACGAAGATTATATAAGTCATGTTGACACTGTAGTATCTCTCTCCTCTGCTTATTTTGATCATTGCATTTGTATAATTGGTGATTTTAATCTTCCAAATTTAAGTTGGTCATATGACTCAAACCATGACTATCTGGTACCGACAAATGCAATATCGTCAACTGATATATATATTTGTGATAATTTTGCGGAAATGAATGTCCAACAGTATAATTCCATATCTAACTCTTATAACTCCTTATTGGATTTATGTTTTTGTAATACTAGATTAGATATAAAAAAATGTAATTCTCTTGTTTCTGAAGATTCTTATCATCCAGCGTTGGTTATCCGACTCCTTGATTTGTTTATTGATTATTTAAAAAATGATGTTTCTCCTAGATTTTTCTATGAATTTGGAAATGCTCCATATGAGCTAATAAATACCCATTTAAGTCTTATAGATTGGTCACAAATGAACGCGATGGAAAAGTTATCGGATGCTATATATTTTTTTTACTCTAAAATAAATTCATTAATTCTTGAGTATGTTCCTTATAAAGTACAATCATGTTCCAATGGGGGAAACTTTCCTTTGTGGATAGATAAACAAACAAAATGATTGATTTTTGAAAAAAAGAATGCTCATAAGAGGTATAAAAAGAGTAACCTTTATTCGGACTATTTAAAATTTTGTAATTTAAGAACCATATGCAAAAAAGCACTTACTTCTTGCCGAAAGAGATATATACTTAATATAGAAAAAAATATTTGCTCAAATAGCAAGTATTTTTGGAATTTTATAAATTCAAATCGTTTAAATCATAATGGTTTTCCCAGTACAATGTATTATAATAATAAAAATGAAACTTCCATTCA